GGTTAGTTGATGTAAATGTCAGTGGAGAAATAGAACTACATTTCTATTTCGGTGTGAAAGTACTATTTTCTTCTCTAAATTTTCTTTTAATAAAGTTTCAGGAAGGATCTTAAATTTATTTTAATTCACATACACAAAACCCCTGATTTGTATTTTCTTTTGTATGGCATTTGTGCAGTAGAAAAGCTCCTCAAATTTTGTTTTTTTGCCCACTGTTTAGTGAAGGAGGTTTGAAAATACAGGCATCCCAACTTCTGTTGTGGGCCTCCCTAAATTTCCTGTGATCTCCACAGGGGATCTTTTTTATATTCCTCCAAGTGCCCTTAGCCTTCACCTAAGTTACTGGTTCCAGTCTGGATTCTCTAGACATCTGGAAGTCCTGAATGATTGTTCTTTCTGTATCCATAGTACTTGGCATTGGGCCTAGCACATGGTGCTTTCCTCAAATAACTTAAAACAATACGTTTAACAATCAGTAGAGTAATGGTAGTTCTCAAGGTGTTTTCAGCATTTCTAAAAACCTAATGATAGTCATATATTTACCTTCAATCAGTTGCTTTGGACTTAAGCTAATGGAGTTGAGAAAGGAAGCCGATTTTACAAATCCACATCTTTCCAACTCTATATTACAGGCATGTAATGTATTCTGTCTAATTTAAAATATTGGAAGTTCTAAACCAAGGCTAGTAACAGTAGTTTTTTGTTTTAGAAATTCTGTTTGTCAGATCTACATATCTGATTACTAAAAATGAGAAAATGAAATTATTTTGAGACTGCAGATTGTTTGGACATCTTTTCCAATATGGGGGAGGAGGGGGTGGGGTTGGAAAAAAGTTACCTTGGATAGCAAAATGATTAGGAACCATAGTGCGTATGGTCCTGAGTCATTTCAGATTCCTCTAGGAGTTTAAAAAGATTTACCGTCTTTTTGGAAAAAAAATACACATATGTATAGAGAGTTTTATATGTAATTTCAGAGGATTCAGGACTCTGAAGTTTGTCCTGTATTTTTTGGTGTAGAAGTGAAAAATTAGAAGGGGTGATTTCTCCCACTGCCAGTATTTATTCATAATGGAAGAGGGTCCTTTGGCTTTGTGAGCAGATTAAATGAGTTAATACAAATAAAGTGTGTAGAACAGAAAATAGCACCCCATAAGAGTTAGCTACTAAGTGTTATTATCTAACAGAGAGTTACGTATACCATTTAATACTCTGCCAAATAAAATTCTCTGAGCTGTAGATTGCTTGGAGGAACTGTGTCTTTTTCTAATTTGTATAAACATGTTATATGAAATAGCAACTTCCCTACACACAAATTCATGCCTTCATAGAGTATGCTAAGATAAACCCTCTTTTTCATACAACCATTAGGTAGGCTTCTTTTACCTTCTTTCTTTTTTTTTGAGACAGAGTTTCGCTGTTGTTACCCAGACTGGAGTACAGTGGCATGATCTGGGCTCACTGTAACCTCTGCCTCCTGGGTTCAAGCGATTCTCCTGCCTCCGCCTCCCGAGTAGCTGGGACTACAGGCACGCACCACCATGCCCAGCTAATTTTTGTATTTTTAGTGGAGACGGGGTTTCACCTTGTTGACCAGGATGGTCTCGATCTCTTGACCTCGTGATCTACCCACCTTGGCCTCCCAAAGTGCTGAGATTATAGGCATGAGCCACTGTGCCCGGCCCTTTTACCTTATTTCTATGACGAAACGGCTGCTTAAAATTTTGTGAGGAAAACAGATCCATATCCTATATGGCTCTTCTTTATCCCAGTGAAAGTTGCCTGCTTTACCTCTGAGCAAATTAACTGCTACTGGTCTTCTTTTCCACAGTGTGAAAGTTTGTTTTTGCTTATTAATCTCTTTCTCTTTTTAAACATTATAAAATATTGAATAGAGATGCTGTAAGCTATTAGGATTTATGATACAGTGGGTATTCTTGTACCTTCACCCAGTTAAAGAAAACAAAATTACAATTATCTTTGAAATTCTTCGAATGTCCTTCATCCCCCAGTGTTCCCTCTCTATTATTATAATAGAGGTAATAATTATCCTGAGGTTTGGACTCATACTTTTTTTTTTAAGCTTTATTACATACTTATTCCTAAACAATACATTAATTTTATATGCTTTTGAACTTTATATAAGTGGAAAGTTTATATAAGAATGTGTGCATGTATGTATTTTTTTCCTTCTGCTACTTGCATTTTTTTTTAAGCTCAACATTCTTGAGTTTCATCTATGTTTATAAGGACAGTATCCTATTAAACAGAAATACTTCAATTTATTCATTCTCCTGTTCATGGCCATTTTGGTTGTTATTTTGCTATTACACAGTGCCACCATGAATGTTTTTATTCATGTTTTTAAATGTACATGTGTAATTTCTCTAGGGTATATGCCTAAGAGTGGAATTGCTGAATTAAAGGATATGCATTACCTAGCTTTACTAGGTAATGCCAATTCCAAAAGTGATTACAGATTTATAGTCTTATCATTAGAGTGTAAGAATTCAAGTTACATTTTATTTTTATCATTTATTCATCCAGAAATATTTATTGGCCACTATAGCAGTAAATAAAAAGATAAAATGTCCTGCTCTCAGGAAGTTTATATTTTAGTAGAGAAAAATAGCTAAAATAAATAACATAGCAAAATGGTATCTGTTTTATGGGAAAAAAAAGTAAAGCAAGGATAGTTCTTGTTATTGCACTGCTCGTAGGGCCATATGGGAGATTTGAGTTTAAGAGGATGAGACATAACCAAGAAGTCCTGTGTTTCAGGTGGTGATTGACATAAACAGAGATGCAAATATGAGATTGGTCCTGATGCTTTCTACACTTGATCTTAGCCAAAAGCCCGGGAAGCCATGGTCCTGATGCTTTTAAGCAGATAATGGTAGTGAAGCTGTGAGTGTTGGGGTGGGTATGGGGGTTAGGAATCTTGCCATTAGCATTTTCCCAGGCCCCTTTCTTTATTCCTACTGATCCATTAGCTCTAAGCCTAAAGAATGAGGAAGCTGTAATGGGTAGTATTATTCTGAGCATTTGGGGTTCTGGGGCCTCCTATTGGCTCTTGCCTACAGGAGAGGAGGAAAGACTTGTCTGGAACATAAGGAACAGTGGAGTTCTCTTGAATTACTGGGAATTCTAGTGCTTGTTTGATTACTGAAGTTGGAAAACTGAAGGTTGGGAAATGGATGGAATTTTTCTGAGCACTTCAAGCTTTAGGGCTTTCTCTTGACTCGTAGAGTCCTCTGGGAAGAGTGGAACAGTATGTGGAACCCCCTTTGTCAGACTTCTTAGTTTTTGTAGTCTGGTGGATGTAAAATAGTATCTTGCTGATACTACAGTAGTATATTGTTGTATTTATTTGATTTTGCTGTAAAAATCCAAAATTCGATCATTTAAATGTCAGACTTTTTGTTTTTTATCTTTTGTGTTTATTGGGCTCCACCATTGTGGAAGTTTCATTCGTCATCTCTCTGTACCATGACTAGATGCCCAAGGTTTGATTCAGCAGCTGAATCTTTTACTCCGATAGCTTTTGTCAACAGACCCTCAGGGAACTCTGTTATACCCTGTGCTAACCCCACCTTTTGTCCACTCTGCCTGAGGAACTGAATTAGTAGCCCTCAACCGTATACTGCTACCTAACTTCAGAAAACTCATCAGTATATCTATGTTTACTCTCTTTCACCTGCTCTGGGGCTCCCATCAAAATACGGGCCCCATGTTGTAGCACTGTCAGAGGCTCTTCATTTACCTTTTAAATTTACTATTTTAAAATCTGAGAATCACAGCTATTATTTCTGTAAGGAAAGTGTTCTGGCTTACCACAATAAGGCTGTCATTCCTTCTGTTTTTCAGGCCAGATCTTTATATTTTAACCCATGCTTTCCCCAGTGTCTCTTATTACTCTCACAGGATCAAGCCTCAGAATTTACAAAAAGAACATGGAAGAAAGGTGTGGTATATAGTACTCTGACAATCTGTGACACTCTCTAGGTGACCTTCTATATACATCCTACTGTCCCACCTTGTTTACATGCTACATTCAGTGTCATGAAGGAGTGCAAAGATGATGATAGTATCTGTAAATTCCAACTGATTTACTATGCATTTTCCAAGAATAGCTCAGGGCTATGCCTTACTTGCCTTCTCAGACTGACACTGTGCATAAACCAATAAAACTAGATGGTGGGCAATGAGACCTGCCCCTTTGATTTTTTTTTTTTTTTTTTGCCTTCAAAGGGATTTCGTTCAGCTTCCTATGGTTAGCTTTTAAGACTATTATGTAAAAATTGTGTAAGCTTTTTTGTGGATAGATTGAAACCTATTAGGGAAAGCCTGTCATTGTTAATGTTATATCATACATTATGGGAATGCCATACCTGGCACCCATTTTACAGAAGAGATATAAAAGAGATCTCAAAGTTTTACCAAGTTAGACGTGATTGTATAGACCTTATTATTCGCAAGGTACACATGGAGTAAAAAAGAAATACAGTCCTAAAAAATTAAGCTAGTCCCAGTATAAATGATCTAGAATTCTTCCTAGTACGATCAATTCGTTTGAACCCATGTTAAATAGTCATGGGAAAACCCATGAGACATTTCTTATCTGCCTATAACTAACCTGAATAATTTCCAAATGCATGTTTCTAATAATAATGTGAGCAATTGTAAAACCCATATGAGTCGTCTGAAGTTTTATCATTTACAGGTATGTGACGCATTCCAGATTCTCCATCCAACTCAGCATCAGCTCCTTCACGGCAACTGGGTCCTGATTAATGTGCTCCCAAGACAGACGTCACTGGATCTTCGCTCAAGACGACTCTGCCAGGTTTTTCTGACCCCTCTACATTGCTATAAAGTGTCAAGGCCTTAAGACTTGGGTACGTGTATTACAACAGCAAGAGTGCCAGCACCAACAAAAGACCCATTGGACCTGTCAGCTCCTCTGTTTCACCAAGCAGACACAATAACCTTCCCAACAAAGCAGAGTAAGCCAAGTGCCTCTGTGTGACACCACCAGCAGCTGATAACGCATAAGAAAAATATAACTAATTTAAACTAGAGCCCTCTCTCTTCTTGAGAAGCTGGGATTTGAAGGAGCTATCCTGAGATCTGTACTGCTAGTAAGTGACTGGTAACATTATAAACTGGATTGGTCCCTGAGTTCAGAGACTGAGTTGCAATTGAGTGAAAAATAGACAACGAAATCTTGAAGAATTGCACTGAGGTGCAAACCCAAGTTTATTTGGCTCTCCAAGTAATATTGGTTGAACTAAGAGATTGGTAAACCAAACCTGTATTAGGACTGGTTGTTTGGGTGTCTCTCTTTGTCATTGTTGCCTCTTGCTGTTACATTGCTGTCTGTGTCGTCTTTCCAGGTCCAGATGTTTTCCGATAATTCACATTGCCCTGATTGTGGACAACAGTGGTTCCCTAGTTTAGAACTAGGCCACTGGTTGTACCAAACTGAACTTGTTGAGAATGAATGTTACCAGGTATTCTTAGACCGTATTAACAGAGCTGATTACTGCCCTGAGTGTTATCCTGATAATCCTGCTAATAGAAGCCTTGTTCTTCCTTGGTCTTTCCCACTTGAGTGGGCTCCCCAAAATCTCACCAGATGGACCTTTGAGAAAGCCTGCCATCCATTTCTTCTGGGTCCTCCACTGGTTAGAAAAAGAATACATGACTCTCGAGTAGCTGGTTTTAACCCAGCATTACAGTTAATCTTGACCAGAACAGATAAAACCTTAAACAAAAAGCTGGGCCAAAACAAATAGCTTCTGTCATAGTCAAAATTGTCAAGTCTAGAGGCTTTTGTGTGGTTAGCCCAAAGAAGATGGAAAAATAATTCATTTCTAAATCTGACCCAGATTGTCACTACTTTGGGGGAACTGCTTAAATTGTTAGATCTGCTTCTGTGGCCTACACATATTTTGCTCACCATGAATTTAATCAGTATTCCAGCCAGATTGTCCATCTAGACTGAGGCTAATCCATATTTTCTATTAACAAGGATTTGGAACTTACCACTTCTAAAAAACTTTCTGCAGCTTAAATAGTGACATATGACAAGGTAGTCCTAGAGGGCAAGTCTCATACTCTGTGCTCCATAATGGTATTTCTAATGATGACTTTTGTGGGAAAGCATCCTTGTTTTAGCTGGATCCTAGATTAGTCCAGTGAATTTTAATAAGAAGTTACACTGTTATAGACTCCACTTCTTATGCATTAGTCAGTGATGATATATATATATAGATAGATAGATAAAATTTATCCATATATAGCCATCTGTTAATCATTGGCCCTCTTTGGCCCATCCTCGGTGTGGCTGTGACATTATTGATAACTGGTCACTGTCAGATAAATCATATTCTATTAGGAAACACCTACATAGGTTTTGCAGAAACATGCAGAAATGCCACCTGTCTATACTTACTTGGCTTTACATAAACAAAAGACTGTTTTGTCTTTGTCGTGACTGAATTTACAACGTCCTCCCCTGGAAATGGAAAAGTACCTATCTAGGAGATGTATGACAAAAGAAATTATCAAGCCTGACCTCATATATATTGTGAATAGTCTAGTGAAAGCATCTTCTTAGAACTAAGAAGATCCTGCTGAACATTGGCCACATTCTGAACTTCTATTGTTCATGAAAATCATAGACCCAGAGTTGGGGTTAAGCCACTTAGAAAAAGCTGTTGAAAGCATCTCAGAGGCCACTGAATAATTTTTAAATTACACTTAACATGCCAGGTATCAAGGTATCTAGTGCTTTTATATCACTTCAACAATATTATCAAGGTCCCAGCTTCTTTCTGTCCTTCCCGCTTGGGATGTTTTTGTTTTTTTTTTTTTTGGCTTTTGCTTTTTTAAACGTAGTGACAGAGTCTTGCATATGGCCTAGGCTGGTCTCCAATTCCTAGGCTCAAGCCATCCTCCCACCTTGGCCTCCCGAGGTGCTGGGATTACAGGTGTGAGCCACCTCACTCAGCCTAGGACCTATGTTTGCTTTTTGTCCTTATGGTTTTTTTCTCAATGCATATAGTATGACTTCTTGTTGTACCAGACTTTTTAATCCCTAGAAAAGGCTGGAAGTGGAGAGCAAACAGCATTCTTTCAAGTCTCTTTTATTTGGGAATCAAATCTTTTCCAAAAATCCCTAGCAGATTTTTTTCTTACATGTCATTAGAAAGAACCAGTTTACAAGGGAGCCTGGGAAAGCTTGGCAAAGGGGAGTAGGGTTAGCATTGCCTAGGTAGGGCACATTGCCTCCATTAATGAAATCAGGGCTCTTTTTATTTTTTTGCGACAGAGTCTCGCTCTTTTGCCCAGGATGGAGTGCAGCAGCTCAATCTCTGCTTATTGCAACCTCCGCCTCCCAGGTTCAAGCGATTCTCCTGCCTCGGCCTCCTGAGTAGCTGGGATTACAGGTACCTGCCACCATACCTGGCTGGTTTTTGTGTTTTTAGTAGAGATGGGGTTTCACCACGTTGGCCGGGCTGGTCTCGAACTCCTGACCTCAGGTGATCCACCTGCTGCAGCCTCCCTCAGTGCTGGGATTACAGGCATGAGTCACCGTGCCTGGCCAGGGCTCTTTTAGCAAGGAAAAAGTGAGGAATGAATGGTTTTTGGTGTGCAACAAATCATACTTGTCACATGTTGTGAAACCTAAAGGTATTTGTTAGTCTGTATGAAGAATGTACCCCAGAGATCCACCCTGTATCTGCCTTATGTCTCTTACAATGGAGGTTCTCTCCTGTTACATTGCTGAATAAACTATATGAACTGCTAAATTGAGTGAAGACTAGTTAGTTTATTGCTAACTGTTTAATGAAGAACTTCACTATCCTACAACTCTTCCTGAAAAGTGAAAATTTACTTTGAGAGAGTGCTTTTGAGAATATTATGATTAGTAGTATTGGCCCTTAAATTTTTTCAGTTATTAGAAATGCTTATGTTACAAGGACATATACTAAGAAACAGTCTACAAATGTGAAAATTTAAATATCAGCAAAATAGAGAAAAGGTCTTTGTTTCTGTTTAACCAATCTCTCCATTAAATAGTAAGATCAGATTAAAAGGATTTATACCATTGATTTCTCAAATCAATACCTAAGCAGAACTTGGGAGAGCTTGTTTAAAAATGTACAACTGGGAGCTGCGGTGGCTCAGGCCAATTGTCCTGGTGTTTGAGGAGGTGAGGCTATGCGTTCAAGGCCAGCCTGGGCAATATAACAACTTCTCATTCGTTTGAAAAATAAATGCAGATTTCTTGGTCTGTTTTAGAAATTTTGATTCCTCAGGTTGCTTATAAGGTCCGGGAATCTACATATTATAAATAACACCTCATGCCGGGTGCAGTGGCATGTACCTTTTATCACAACTACATGGGAGGTTGAGGCAGTAAGACTGTTTGGGCCCAGGAGTTCAAGACCAGACTGGGCAAGATAGTGAGACCCCTGTATCTTTCAAAAACAAAAACAAAAAAGAAATAGTACCTTGGGAGATTCTGATGCAGGCACTCTATGGACCACACTCTATGGACCACATCAGCATTGAGAAATGCTGTAGTAATATGTCCATAGTGTTTACTTATCTGGCTTAAAAGGATGGGAGCAGAGTACTCATAATACTGCAAGATAGTACCATTTATTTGGTAACGCTGGTAATGTAAAAAGAGGTTTCCTGTCAGACTGAAGATCACTGTTGATAATTTAGGTCATAACTTTGCCACATTTTTCTCGTTATTTAAACTAATCAGGACTGTTTCAGTCCTCTTCACAGTTTTGTTTGGTGTCATTACAAGCTATGTGAATATACAGACAAGAAAAGAATAAAAAATACTAATTTTAGTGTTAAGAAGGTTCCTTTGCCTTCAAACATCACATACCTGTTATATGGTAAGCTGTCAGAAATCAACATCATGTAGTAGAGCTCATAAAACTGAGCAAAGGAGAAAATTGAGGAGGGCTTTGAACACAGCTTTTCACCTTAGATCTTTCTCGTATGGCTTCAAATATTGCAGATTATTCTAGAATACTCTGTAGTTGATGTGAATAATGAATTTTATTAAAATATAAATGCTGTGTTGGTAAAATTAATTCTAATGACAAATGATCTCGAGCGTTACCCAGTGTTTTAAAGAGTGTGAGCCATACTAGTCTCTTTTTATGGCGTGGAAGAATGGGTAATACTGCTTATATGTTACGGTAGCATTTCTAAAATGACCATTATAACTACATCCTGTTATTTTACAGCAAACCTGGGAGTGGGGCAGGGTTAATGGAAACATGCAAGGGCAGACTAGAAAGCCACCAAAGAGGTGGCTTTTGGGGGATGTGAGTGAGTGAGGTAAGATTCATCTCTGAGTTACAGGTGAAGGAAGTCCAGGCAAACAGGAAGGCAGAAATGAGTCCATGGCATCTAAAGAATATGTGGCAGTCCACATTCATAGCTGTCTGTAAAAGTGAGATGAACCATAGCCCTTTCATCTCTCCTGTCTCCCTGGCAACCCTGAGTCTCCATGGAATTTTGAGGACACAGCTTGAAAATTGCTTTTTATAGAGGCAAAATAATGGCCTTGCAGCCAGCTGGGTTTGTATTCTAATTCTGATGCTTTTAAATGACCTTGGGCATTTTAACCTTTCTGTATCTAGTTTCTTCATCTGTGAAAAAGGTTGTGTAATAATACCTACTTCATCCTGTTGTGAGGTTTAAATGCAGTAACATGTACCAAACATATGGCACATACTAAATCTTTAGGATGAGGAAAGATATAAGGCAAGAAAGCAAAAGCAGAAGTTACAACTGGGGAATAATGTAGAGTCTTACTTACTGTTTTGTTGTTTTGAGACAGGGTCTTGTTCTGTCACCCAGACTGGAGTGCAGTGGCGCCATCATGGCTCACAGCAGTCTTGACCTCCTGGGCTCAAGTGTTCCTTCCACTTCAGCCCCCTAAGTAGCTGTGACTATAGGCTTGCACCACCACACCCAGCTAATTTTTGTATACCAAAATTATACACAAAGATGGAGTATTGCCATGTTGCCCAGACTCGTCTTGAGCTCCTGAGCTCAAGTGACCCGTACATCTCAGCCTCCCAAAGTGCTGGGATTATAGGCTGGAGCCACCATGCCCACTGAGTCTGTTTTAGAACAGGGATGAAAGCCAATTGTTTGAACTGATGCTGAATTATTATAAACTTATTGGCTGGTAGGCCACACCTGTAATCTCAGCACTTTGGGAGGCTGAGGCAGGAGGATGGCTTGAGCCTAGGAGTTCAAAACAAGCCTGAGTAACATAGTGAGACCCCAACTCTACAAAAAAATTTTTAAGAAGAAAAAATTAGCTGGATGCAGTGGCATCTGCCTGTAGTTCCTGCTACTCAGGAGGCTGAGGTAGGAGGATCCCTCGAGCCTCAGTGAGCTATGAACTTGAGGCTGCAGTGAACTATGATGGTACTACTGCCCTCCAGCCTGGGCAGCAGTGAGGGTCTGTCTCTAAAAATGAAAACAAAAAACTTCTTAAATCTCTCCTGATGAAGGACAAGATTGATTTTGGGACTGAGGTTGAGCCTGTAGTGTAAGTCAAATGGTCTTTGTTGTAAAGATTAAAAGGCCCGGCTGGACGCGGTGGCTCACACCTGTAATCCCAGCACTGTGGAAGGCGGAGGCAGGTGGATCACAAGGTCAAGAGATTGAGACCATCCTGGTCAACATAATGAAACCCTGTCTCCACTAAAAATCCAAAAATTAGTTGGGCGTGGTGACGCGCGCCTGTAGTTCCAGCTACTTGGGAGGCTGAGGCAGGAGAATTGCTTGAACCCAAGAGGTAGAGGATGCAGTGAGCCGAGATCACGCCACTGCACTCCAGGCTGGGTAACAAGAGCAAAACTCTGTCTCAAAAAAAAAAAAAAAAAAAAGGCCCGGAGAGATGGATGACCCAAGGCAGATTTTTGTCACAATTTTTAGGCCCATTTTATAATCTTAATTATGGTAGATATAATTCCTATGTCTACCTTAGATCACATGAGGCTTTCCACAACAGATAAACAGATTCCTGATGTGACAGTTCCCTGAAAAAGAAATAGAGA